TTTTGAAATCTTGGTGACATTCTGATGGAGGCTGGCGAGGGCAAGATCCATAATTGTGTGATCTCCACGCCGGAGAGGTGGCACCAGCCCTGTGGTGTCAACAGTGATGGTGCCCTATATAGTGGTCAGATATTTCCAAACATAATGCAAAAAGTTACCAGGGACGTATGGGATTGAAATGGAGGGAAATTCAGCCTGAGAATAATTGAAACCACCATAGTACAGTCTGAAGAAGTTTCCCCGCAATATCATTGGATCTCCAATGTTTCAAGAAATGGGTGACATAGCTCCTGCCAGTGATGACCTCCAGTGGTATGAACCCTGCTCCTCCTACAGACACTGGTGCGTAGAGGAGCGCTCTGGCAGTAGTGCGTGCATAACCGCAGAGAGAGAGAATGCGTGGAAAGTATTTCCTTTCCAACGTGAGCAATTGGGCAGAAGACAAAAAGGACTAGGGCAGAGGATATTCAATTGCAGGACGCAACACTGTTTCATAAAGCATTTGTGCTGTAGGTTGGTTGGATGAGCACCGGTAAATGGCAGAGCAAATTGAATCTGCTTTGGATAGTAATGCATTCAACTGAGCTGTGTATGACCCGTGTGGTGACTTATGGTGGCCAAGATTTTTGCCTGGAGTGAAGATGTTCTTTGAAGCAATGCAGACTGGTTCTCCAATAGGATCAGTCAGGAAGATATCACCAGTAGTGTGAAGAACACAAGGAAGCATATCCAATGGAGATTCAGAGAGGTATTGGAAGTCATAGTAGTATAAAAGATGAAATCCACATTTTGGAAGTTCTAACTTCCCMCCWGAACACCAAAGAAGATTGTGCCAAAGTTGTGCATCAGATCGGAGTCGCTCCAGGAGATCAGCAAGGGAAGCTTCTGGGGGTGAGGCAGTGATGACAGTGGAGTCATCAACAAAACCAATGATCGACATGGAGAAGGAAAGAGTGCCATCTGGACTAAAGAATGTCATGCCAAAGGATTCAGTGTTGTGAGCCTCAAACAGTCTAATCAACAGGAGAGCCCAAATGACAGGACTGTTGGCAGATCCCTGCCCAGTGCCGCGAATTGGAAACCTTGGACAATGTTGATAAGAGGCGTTGGTTATAGGGTTGGAAACCTTCAGCTTGTACTAGTGTGCTTGGTGGAGTGTGCAAGCATGGACTCCAATAACGTCCCTATGGATACCAAAACCTCTCCCCAAAAGGCTTGAGAGAGAAGTGAGGATACGATCATAGCAGGAGGAAGCATCATTGTCAAAGTTAGCAAAAGGTGTCCTGGTCAATTGAGAGTAGTCAAAACGGAGTTCTTCCATAAGTGTAACAGTCTGTGCTTCCTTGCCTGGTGCTCCACCAAACTGACATGGGTGTAGAGTGCCATCAGCTCTGGCCTTCTGGATGGTAGCTCACCATTTAGATCCAAGGAGAAAATTGAAGTCAGCTTCATACAAGTGTATCACTCTAAGTCTGTGGATTTTGGTATTACCTGGGTCTTTATAGATCATCAGATTCACAATGGTTTGCCAGCATTTGAATGAGTATCTGTGCTTGAGGGCGTAGTTGAGAATAGAGATATAGCAGTGCCGGATAGAGGCCTGGATTTGCTGAAGATCTGCCAGGACTGCCTTGTCTTCTTCATGGATTTCTCTGAAAAGCAGCTTATAATGGCCCAAATGGCAACCACTTGGGGAAGTAGAAGTAGACTCCCGCCACTTGGTAAACTTGGTGGTAAAGTCTGCATCATGAGAGATCTGAGCCGGCAGGGAATCCAGTCTAGTCACGCGGTGCAAGTGACGGAGGAAAAGCAAAGTAACATGGTCAAAGTCCTTGTCCAAAAAGTACCATCAAGGACCAGTTTAGCTGCTTGAGTAGAGGCACTCCAGTTGATATGTGTTTTCAGTGGAGGTTGTGTGAACAGGGTTTTCTCAGTCTCCGCCTGGCCAAAATGCCGTTGATTCCTCAGTTGGAGATACCTCTCAATTTCTGAAGGGGTAGTAATTATCATCCAGTCAGTTGGATCAGTAACTGTTTTTGGGTCAACCAAGGTAGTATTAAGAGTGGATGGATCAAAGGATGTCAACGCCAGTGGAATCTGTATCTGTGAAATGGCTGGACCTGTTTGAACTTGTTGCCAGCAGTGACAAAGTTGGCGATGCGCAGCATTCCGCCACTCCTGACGGCAAAGTTGGCAGAGGCACTGTGCTTGAGCAGGATCATCAGCATCCATAGCAATATTGGCCTGTTCAAGAAGAAAGGAATCTTGTTTGGTTGCAGATTCCTGGAGAAGTGTTTTGATCTGAAGTCTTAGTTGACACATATGGGATTGAATCTGAGGAACAGTGACATCTGGGGGAATCTGAAAGCTCAGGGCAGTAGCTCTGGTGAGGAGTGCTGTGCAATCCAAGTGTTTTTGCTTCCAATGACAAAGTTGGCTGTAGACAGAAAGTTCTTGTTTCAAAAGATGCAAGTCAACACTCCAGTAGTCGCGGGGTGAGAGTCGGCATTTATTTTCTGCAGCCCTACTAGCTCGAATGAGGTCAGCATCAAGTGCTTCGGCCTCTGCGTGATCAGGGACTGATGAAGAAAGAAGCTTATCAATTCGCGACTTGATGTGATGGAGTTTCATGTAATCGTGAAATGTTTGAAGGTATACTTTGATTGCCTTCTGGTCCTTACTTGAAAAAGTTTGGGATGTCACCGGTGCAATGGACTTATGGGAAAACAATTCAGAAACATCCAAGTCAAAGTAAAATCCTCGGTGATCACCAGACAGTCAGTACTTGAAAGGTTCATAGATGAAGGTTGTGATGTAAGGGCAAAGCTCTGGAGAAACAAGGGCAAAGTCAATGCGTCTTCTTCCTCTATGATACGTGGGGAAATCAGGGTGATCAGGATAGAGGGTCAGCCATGGATCAACAAGGTCTAAATCAGTCATGAGAGACTTAATTGGGGAGGAAGTAATGGGTGAATTCCAATCCCCCATAAGAATCAGTGACAGGGCGCCTTCGTGAGTATCAACAGCTTGGGTGACAAAGTGTTTGAGATCTGAGATAAAATGCCAATGGGGATGAGGATCACCACGTCCTTCTTGAATGAAGAGACTCTCATGTTGGTGGAAGGCAGTGCATCCAACTGTGTTTGTAGGGCGAGCACAACACTGATAGATGACAATGAAGAGAATACTGGTATCATTGTTGCACCGCATGTGTTGATAGGACCATCTACCATATGGATCATTGCCTAGTTGATGAAGTCGGCCTCAGTGGGAGCCAAAGGTGATAAGCCCAGTGTCACAGCATCCTCTGTATCAGCAACTTGTATCAGCATCCATATCAGCATCCTCTGTATCAGCAACTTGTATCAGCCTCCTCCTCTGTATCAGCAACTCATAGCACCAGCACATACTGGAAGTACAAAGTAAGAAGATGGTACTGAAGTACCATGTGGTGGTACCAGAGTAATCTAAGTAAGTACCAAACTACCACTTTCATTTTTGTCCATTGAGCCTATTTAAATACCTCATTTTTTCATTTACTTTGGGTCTCCGACACATGCTTGACTGAGCAAAAATTGGATTACTACAGTAGTTTATTGCCAGTAAGGTGCCAGTAAGGTGCCAGTAAAGGGGGGTAGTTATGCTCTGAAAAAAATGTAGTAGAAGCTATTCAATGAAAGCACTGTTGATTTTTGTTGTTTCTGAAATTTCTGAAATAGGAATGGAAATCATTGATTTGTTGTGTATCCTGGGTAGTAGTATTCTTGATTTTGTCGTTGTTTTTTTAAGCAGAAGAGGAGGTGATGTTCTTCTTGTTCTTCCAAACACCAACAAACCAGCACCATTCGTGAAAGCACAACATAAATCCAATTGCTTGTGTAAGACCAAGTTGAAACCAACTCATTTTCCAAAGATCTTCCCTGTAATTTGTGAACAGTTCTTGCATTGTTAGCGGCGATAGTATTGATTGGGAATTGAGTTCTTGAACATATTCCCTTGTGACTTGTTTGAGTTTCCTGGTGGTTCTTGGTAATTCTTGATTCATATTCTTGTGGACATCAAAATTTTGCTGTTGCTGCAGTGTTTTAAGGAGTCAAAGTGATTTTTGAGTCTCCTTCTTCAAGAAGGACTACCTCAATCCATTCAACTTTCTCAGCATCTACACATCAAATATAAATCCATCAAGGGACTGGATTTGCCTAAATGTCCTTGCAGATCCTATCAATAAAGTGTGCAAAGACTGTAGAGAGCTCCCTACCTGCTGAATGACATTGATCCACCTCCTTGGATTCTCCATATTCCTCTAGTTGCTGGAGACAGACACAGGAGATCCCCTGCCTCCACAGCTGCAAGGATGATAGTGAGCTTCTGGATCCTTTGATAAGCTCCAGGAACCTTGCTCTTAAAACACTTGAGGGCAATCCCTTTCTTCTTGCTCTTTCTTGTCTTGGTCATATCAATACCAAACTCATTGACATCAATGAACCTTCTCCTCATAGGAACTCCAACCACTCCAAGAGGAGGAGACTCAATCCAAAAGATCTTTGCCCTTCAAATACTCTCTGGCGTGAAGGCTTGACAGGCTTCCTTAGAGGTGTTCTTCCTTGTAAGTTCCATTTTGTTCAACCTCCTGCTGATGATTGCATTAGAGTAGATAGTAGGTCCTCCACTGTTGAAAATTAAAGTTGCTTTTTCATCATTGTTGCTTGCATCTGGATAGATCCAAACAAACAAAACTATGTCCATTTTGACCAAAATGGACAGTCTACCCCCTTGATCCACAATTTTCTACAGCATTTTTGCAATTTTCTACATAGGTTTGCAAGGTTTTGTACTACAGACCTCCAGATAGAATCCATTTTGCTTCTGGCTGAGCAGCTGCTGGGCCTGCCAGCGTGCCACCACCAGTTTTAGGACAAATCCTACTTAGCCCTACTGCGCTAACGTACGGAATGTTAACTTAACATTCCATACGTTAAATCTTCGCGATGCCTTAATCAACGTAATTTCAATTGTTATTTTACGCGTAGTAATCTGAGCGTTGTGACGATGGACAACCAAAAAAGGATCGACATGAAAGTGCGAATCACAATGCCGGATAACTGATAACTCTCTCATAAAGTAACAAAGATTTTAAAGGTCGTTTTTCATTCGTTACAAGCTGAATGGTTCGTTCAGTGAGAAAACTGACGTTTGTCTCCTGATTCGCGTTTTCCATATGGATTTGAGGCACTGAAACTATGCCCGGATCCGAGACGTTTCTGCTTCGCGTTCTTGTTTTTTCTTTTCACATTCCGCTTATCACCACGAGCTGAGAAAGCCAAGTCCACCCGAGGGGGGGTTGAAAAACCAAAAGCTAGGCCAACGGCTTGTAAGTCAAGTTCGTGAACGTTGTATATTTCACGGTGGGAATGGCTTGCGTACGCAAGAAGATAACTCCGGTAAGCATCTCTAGCAGACTTGTTCAGATAGTAATTTTTCTCTATCAGTGACTGGAGCTGGGATTGAACATTTGCGATCTTCGACGTAGGAAACTCATATTCATTCAATGTCACCCGTGCAGCAGCTTGCAGGTACCGAAGAAAACCTGTTTCTTGCGGTGTCAAGAACATCAATGCCCTACCCGAGCCGGTCGCACCACGCGCAGTTCGCCCTACGCGGTGAACGTATTCCCTAGGATCATCCGGTGGGTCAAACTGGATAATCCAATCAACTTCGGGGATATCAAGCCCACGGGCAGCAACATCTGTACACAAGAGAGTTGCAGTTTTGGCCTTCTGAAACTGGAAGAATGTTGTCGTACGTTTAACCTGTTTTTGTCGACCGTGAATATCCAGCACCGGGATGTCGATGTAATTTAGCAATTCAGCGTGGAATTTCACGGAATTACAAGATGATAAGAATACMATGATCTTTTTATTCTTGTTCTTCTTTAAAAAGGTGAAGAGAAGCAGAAATCGTTTGTCGGAGGGACACGTAACGTAACCTTGTTCAAGATTTTCGGCCGTAGCTTCTTTTCTATTGGACTCCACTTCGACATAGATAGCGTTTTTGGGGTTAATTGAAAGCCTTGCAAGATCTTCAACCTTTTTGGTCTGCGTGGCAGAAAATAGCATAGTCTGGCGCTCTTTGGGAAGCATCTTGACAATTGCACGCAGATCGTCCTCGAACCCGATCTCAAGAATGCGGTCTGCTTCGTCCATACAAAATACTAAAAGGTTTCGAACCACAAATCCTGGGGAATTTTGAAGGTGATCAAGCAATCGACCAGGTGTGGCGATAACAATATTCACTCCCTTTCTTAGGCGTTCGGCTTCCGTCTTCCGATTGGCTCCTCCCATAATAAGTCCATAGGTCAAAGTTGACTTTTCCCCCAGCAACTCCTTACATACCCCATAGATTTGCATCGCTAGCTCTCTAGTTGGGGACAAGATCATAGCCCCCGTTCCGTTACGTGTGTGAAATCTTGCCTTTCGCAACAATTCGACGATGGGTACAAGAAAGGCGAGAGTCTTTCCGCTTCCAGTTTGCGCTGCTCCGATCAAATCCTTCCCGGCAAGTAATGCGGGAATCGATTTGGACTGAATCTTTGTCATCTTTTCGTGCCCCATGTTATTGATCGCTTGCTTTGTTTCCTCTGTAAGGGGCAATGACGCAAATGTTTGTTCGGAGAAGAATCCCTTCTTCTCTCCACTAGAAATGGCGCCGGTAGATTCTTCATTGTTAGCTTCAGCGTCTTTCTCATCTCGTTTCATTTTTTTTCCCTTCTTCTTCTTCTTCTTCTTTTCCTTCTTTTCAGTGGCATTGTCCTCCTCCTCGTTGTCCTCATCATCGGCTTTTCTCTTCTTTTTGCTCTCGGACGACAATTGCTTGGTCTCGAATCCTACATTTTTTTCTTCATTTTCATGAGACTCGAGGGTCGAAACGTTATCGTCTGCCGAAATAGTAGGATCGTCAGCTGGCCTCCTGGTTTTGCTCTTTGACCTGCTTCTTTTTTCTTTTTTTGCCATCTTTCGAAGCCACTTCAGAGAATTGATCGCACAGCGGAATCAACAAAAATGGAAGACTCTTGGCATTCAACAAAAACCACCGTGCTAATGCACTTTTGTGTTGTGACGACGTCGTATGGGAGGCTAGGCTATTTTTCATCTGGATAGAGCAGGAATAATCATTTCTGTCCGGAGGATGCTGCCGAGAAAAATTATTTTTTTCCTTTATCATTCCAAATGAAGTCAATGGCGCGGAGAGGCAGGTATTTAAAATTTCCTTGAGTGACTGACAGACCAAATTTTTTGCGCACGTCAATGCGCGATTCTGGTCTTTTACTTCCCCTGTTTGATTTCGGGGATGCCGATGACTAGATGAAATTTTTAAAGATTCATTGATTCTTCTTTCACATTACAGTACTGTACTTACATCATCCTGTACCGGTAGGTCGTACTTGTACCTGGAAGTCAACAAATGTCACGAAATTTGTTGATCATCAATGTTTTGCCTTGGTTTCGGGCAGATGTCTCTGTTCTCAAGTCGCACGAGAGTGAGAGAAGTTCTTGTCAATCGCAGTGGAGTCAATTCCTTACTCTAATCCCCACTAGATGTAGTACTGGACATAGTTGCACCCACAACAGATGCTCTCAAGGCTAAAGACGAGGACAACAAATAAATATCTTGTGACATTGTTCGCATCTGTAACATTTCAACGACCACCAGGGCCGTTCATTTTATTTCCTATTTTCCGCTATGATCTCCGCTGCTAATAGATCCTCAAGATGTAGGAAAAATAATAGTCAAGTTGGACGAAAATTTCGTCCCTTTGAACTTTGTAACAAGAACCCAAACGAAAAGCATCGTGGCAATACAGTAGTGCAACCAGAGCCTACGACTAGCTCATCACCTGTTGCATTCTTGCCAAGCTCAATTGCTTCGTCAGGTAAGTGCGGTACAATTTTATCAACTAAACCTTCGTTTCTTTCAATACTTCTTTCTCAATACGTGTACTTTGCATTCTCCATTCATATTGCAATAGTCGGCCCTGCATCTCTAGTGGGTGGCACGGCAGCAATCTACACGTCTTTGCTCCAGCACCCTAGTTCAACCTTGAATCAGCTGTCATTCGTTCTTATGATGGTATTGGCAATCCAGTACGCGGTGCAACCTCGACTGTCTCGGAAATACATTTCCCCTAAAATCAAGAAACAGACGGTAGCATTGGTGGAAGAAGTTACTAAGACAGGTTTTGCTGCAGCAATCTTCTTTTCAAAACCATCTGCCGAGATTCAAAACGCCTTCAAAGGTAAGCAGGACGACACTTGCGACAAACGTGACATCGATCATCATTGAACCTGATTTTTTCGTTCAATCAAATATGACTTGTTCGTCCTTCTCAATTTTTGTGTTATTTTGTATTTTTCATTTTAAAGGTTGGTCTCTTTCCTCTTCGTTGGCATGTGCAGGCTTGCCTGCCGTGCTCTACGCCCTGCAAGGCGTTTTGCAGTACGTCTCGTATCAGCACCTTGATTCGGTGACATTCAATGGGTTAACGCAAACCAAGACACTGAGCGCTGCATTCTGTTGTTGGCTGATTATAGGAAAACCTCAATCACCTCTCCAAATGGTAGCATTGGGAATATTGTTTGGGTCCGCTCTTGTCTTTCAAGGTTACATTAGAGTTGAAACGTTTTGGAAGAAAAATCCTCAATCGAGCCGAACGAACGATGACCCGGCGACTATTGTTGCAGAGATGAAAACGTTGGAAGGAACTTCACCAACGACGGCATCCGCAAAACCTAAGGGAACGAGCGTTTCAAAAAAGAACGATGATTGGTGGTGGCGTGGCGTTGTCCCTTGTTTAGGGGCTGCCTTTTTAAGTGGCTTGGCAGGTGCTTTTTCTCAAAAAGGCCTACAAGTTACTGGATTTCGGGGCCGAGATCCATTTCTGTACACTATGGAAGTCTCTTTTTTCTCTGCTATTACGTTACTAATCAACATTTTTCGGTCGGATGCATTTGTAGACCTGGAATGGCAGAAGCAAAAAACGTATTGGAATTGGGAAACGTTTATTCCTATCTTCATGAAAGCGACTAGTGGTGTCATTACTGCATTGGTGCATAAGTACGCTGGTTCTGTGTCAAAAGGCTTTGCTCTCATGTTCGGTCTAGTTCTATCTAACATGATTCAGTTGAGGACGAACCGGGAATCACTGCAGTCACATCAGGTTCTTGGCACCATGATGATCATGCTTTCAACCTGGCTTCACTTTACAAATCCAGGGTAAACCTTAGACCTCCATCTCTGTAGCAGTACTTACTACATTAAAACTAGATGCCATTTTTACTTACGGAAACATTTTCCTCTTTGATATTTAATATTCTACATAATCTCCTCTTGTAATTTGTTTTGTTTAATCGATACTAAGGTCGTTTCAGTACAATACTATTGGTAATATATTTACCGGTCTGATCTTCTTGGTTATCGTGCTGGAAATCCTAGCAAAGCAGAGAGCGAAATGCTCATCATCTATTTTCAAGAGTTCTCGCACACATACCGTAGACGATATTTTGTATTCAACAGAGATGACACTCGAATACAGTAAGAAACAAAATAATAATACAGTAATCATTCATGATTCGTACCTGGTACTGTACTTAATTACCGTATCAAATAAACCAATTGCGACTTGCGACCCCGCCCAGCACAAAACCGTGCTGCGCAAACTGCGTTGTACTCGTACTGTAATGCTACAAATTACTTTCCATCGTTTGCGCACTTTTTTGTAGCACTTATAATACAGAACAGTATCTTTTCTCGAGAACACTTGTAATTCCTACGTTAAGTTCTGGTTCTCAACAACCGTGTAAGTATCAGAATGCGTCGTCGGATTTCATACAGATGCCCTCCAGATGTCAATAATAAGTAAAAAGATGCGCACGTACGATGAGGATTGCTAGCCTCACAAATCCGTCCAAGACTCAATCCCAGAAACAGTTTTTAGTGACGAAAGTTGATTGGGTTTCTAAGAGTAAAGATAGAATCGTGTGGTAGGTTTTCATTGGTTTACTGAAACACGAGCAAATGAAGTACGTACTTCAGAGAACGAAACTGATGGTTTCCATCAAGGTTACAAGTAAAAAAATCTGGATCCAGACTCCCCTTCCCGCGGTGCGGGTACGTACTTGTACTCGTACGTACAAGCGTTTACTAGTGGAATTACTACCGGTACGTACGGTACTTTCAACAGAACCATCAATGAATGATGACTGACAGCCCCAAAACTGTGGAAAAGGAAAGGTGGATCTTTACATCAAAATCCATCCAACAAGCGATCAGAACCAAGAATTTTGTTGTCAAACATCAAAATTTGGAAGATTCCCAGGAATCACACAAATTTAACACAACCTTTCTTCCATCTAGGAAGAAATAGCTTGTTCATTTAATAACACTATTTCATTTCCCTACCATGTTGTTCCGTAGCATCGCGTTATTTGCAGCTTTGGCTTCACCTGCTTTCGGCTTTGCGCCTGTCTCCACACCTCGTCCATCGGTCATGGCTCTTCGCGTTGCCACTGATCCCATCAAATCTGACGATTTGGTTTCGAAGGAGGCAAATGTCAAGTCCGTACGCAGGACCAAACCCACCAAGAACCCCATGAGTCCTGAATTTGAACAGATTAGATCTGTTCCATACAACGAGGCTTTCCCGAACTCTACTAAGGAGCACAAGACCGTCACTCACGAGGAAACTGGACATGTCCTTAATGTCCCATTCCGTCGTGTTCATCTAGAAGATCCCGACCAAAAGTATTTGGATCTTTACGATACATCGGGACCTCAAGGACATGACCCTAAGATTGGTATCCCCAAGCTTCGAAAGGATTGGGTCGCTGCTCGCGAAGGAAAGTTTGAAAGGTACACTCAGATGCATTTCGCTAGACAGGGCATGATTACCGAAGAAATGCTGTTCGTTGCCGAGCGCGAAGGTGTCGAGCCCGAGTTTGTTCGCTCTGAAATTGCCCGAGGAAGAGCCATTATCTGCTCCAACAAGAAGCACCTCGAATTGGAGCCTCAAATCATCGGACGCATGTTCAAGGTCAAGATCAATGCCAACATCGGAAACTCTGCTATCACCTCCTCTATTGAGGAGGAGGTGGAAAAGCTCCAGTGGAGTACTCTATGGGGAGGAGATACCCTGATGGATTTGTCTACAGGAAAACACATTCATGAAACGAGAGAGTGGATCATGCGAAATAGTCCCATTCCTGTCGGAACAGTTCCCATCTATCAAGCACTTGAAAAGGTCGACGGAATTGCTGAGGATTTGAACTGGGAGGTTTTCCGCGAAACCTTGATCGAACAGGCAGAACAAGGTGTCGATTATTTCACAATTCATGCAGGAGTGTTGCTCCCTTACGTTCCAATGACCGTTAAGCGAATGACTGGTATTGTGAGCCGAGGAGGATCCATCCACGCGAAGTGGAACATTTTTCACCACAAGCAAAATTTTGCTTATGAGCATTGGGATGACATCCTTGACATTTGCGCCGAGTATGACATTGCGCTTTCTATCGGAGACGGTCTCCGTCCCGGTTCGATTTACGACGCGAATGACGAAGCCCAGTTTGCTGAACTGAAGACTCAGGGTGATCTGACCCGTCGAGCTTGGGAGAAGGATGTCCAAGTCATGAATGAGGGACCAGGCCATGTTCCTCTTCACAAGATTCCGGAGAACATGCGCAACCAACTTGACTGGTGTAACGAGGCTCCATTTTACACTCTGGGTCCTCTTACGACTGATATCGCACCAGGGTACGATCACATTACCTCTGCCATCGGTGCTGCGAACATTGGAGCTCTTGGAACGGCCATGCTCTGCTACGTCACACCTAAGGAACACCTTGGTCTCCCCAATCGTGATGATGTCAAGGCTGGAATCATTGCCTATAAGATTGCGGCTCATGCCGCGGATCTAGCCAAGGGATTGCCTGGTGCTCAGGATCGCGACGATGCTCTTTCCAAAGCTCGCTTTGAGTTCCGCTGGAATGATCAGTTCAATATTTCTTTGGACCCTGTTACCGCAAGAGCATTCCACGACGAAACCTTGGATAGCGACGCATCCAAGAGTTCCCACTTTTGCTCCATGTGTGGACCTAAATTCTGCTCTATGAAGATTACAGACGATGTACGTCAATACGCAGCCGAGAACGGTTATGGAGTAGAGGAAGAAGCCATTGCAAAGGGCATGGAAGAAATGAGTGACATGTACAAGGAAATGGGCAACAAATTGTATCTGGAAGACATGGACAATGTTGTCAACCCTTTGGAAGACTTGACCCCTTAGAGGAATTTATATTACAGAACATCCGTTATGACGTCTACAAGATATTTTATCTTGTCGATATTTCAATCATCATTTTTGTTTGCGGGAGCAACCGAAGAAACAGCTGAGATTCATTATCGAATACCGCTTGAACCTGATCATGGCAATGCATGCGTGAGGGAACAACAAAACGATTGATGTAGAAACGTGATTTCTAAACGAATGAAGAATATAAGTTCTTCTATCAATATATAGGATTATTTTTTAGGAACATCAATTCTTTGTCTCGCACTTCAACAGATGAAGTCGATGGTACCGGTACATAGCCAAATCAGCATATTGTCTTCCTGTCAGCTATCCATATCTCTGTAGTCTCGAACTGAATAAAATCTTGACCGTAGGCCATTGTCTCCTTGATTCTACTAGGTGTACGGTATCGAATATCCCTGGTAGATGGTGTTCGTTAATAATACGAGGTGTGGGCGACGCCATTGTGTGGGCATCGGTTCAAAAGTACATGGTTCAAAAGTACAGTGGAGGGGAATCGAACCTCCGACCTCAGCTGTGTTAAAGCCGCGTCATAACCAACTAGACCACCTCTGCACTACCTCAGGAGTCAGAAGAAATGGTTCAAAATAGGATGGTGCATGTATGATTCATTGGTATCAATAGTAGATAGATGGGTACAATTGGTCCAAAACCGAGATACTAAACATGGTTATTAAACATGAAAATTTGTGGACGGGGATCATCCAACAGATCATGAGATTACATGTGCACTAAATTAAAATTGTATTGATGTACCTGAAGTATCAAGTTGTAGGAAATCTTACAGGAGCTGCGCCAGAAAATTTCAGTCTCGAAACTGATATTCATACCAATGCCAGGGAATATATGTGGAGGGCAACAGCAAGTGCCCAAGATTTCCTGGCGCGAAGTCAGAAAACGAAATAAACATCAAAGGAAAAATTTGCCATAAAATGGTAGATAACGGAAGACATACTACATCAGACACATGATCACACATCATACGTAGATATTACTAAAGAGGTAAGTTGTTGGATCATGAGAGGTAAACAATCCTGTTTTAATGGCAACATTTGATACAATACTAGAGAAATGCTGATCAAAACGCATCTTTTTGTCACTGTTTGAGCAATAGGAGCTGATAAATCTATCAGACCAAGTAAAACAGAGCATAAGATGGTTGAGGAGACAAACAACGAAGATGGGTGTAAAGAAGAAGCAGTGATTGGACAAATACAAAAACATAAAAATCAGCATGAGACAGTCATGAAGAATAATCTGGTGACATATGTTAAGGAGAGATTTTTCAAGTACACAAAGTTTTCTGTGGAAGATGAAGTTTTAAATGCCATCATAGCGGTCAACCTTGAAACTACATTTGGTACAGACCCAGTTCCAGATAGCTTGGTTGTCACTGCAGCAAGGTGGGGAGGGACTATCAATGGTGCTATCACTGCATGCAGACACAACGCGCAGACGTTGGCAAGGTTAAATTACAAGGGTAAGCAAAGACAATACAAATGCATGCACAACATCAGACACAATTGAGAGACTTCAAKACTCACAATCATCAGTCTCTGCTTGTTAAGTACAGAAGACAAAAAGAACAAATTAGTACCAGACATGTTCAGCGGCAATTGCTTCATAGTGGAAGGAGATGGAGGAGAGACATTCCTGCTCAGAAGTAGCTACAGATGAGCAAATAGTCCAGAATTCAAGTACTTTGTAACAAGAATTTTATGGGCGGTGTCCCCCAAACAAACAGAATTCAAGGGAAGGCAACACAAGGATAAACTTAGCTCCATTTTCACTGCAACAGACAAAGCCTTTGCACTGCTGTTTTTGTACAACGACTACAAATCATGGAATAATTCTGGGAGTGAAAAGAAAACTAGAAAGCGATTCACCGATAGTAGGATAGGAAACAAAGAAGGCTGGAGCTATGAGGGACGTATGCTGTTTGGAAAGTTGGTAGAAGAGGTAAAGAAGCAAAGAGAGGATGATGCTTCAGTGGAAATTGAACAAGCACTAAGGGTGGCATACATAAGAGAAAACGGAGACAACAGGGAGGATAGAATTAGAAATAAAGAAAGAAAGTTGCGCAAAATAGAGAAAAAAATTGATCAGAAAAAATACTGGGAGGACAATGAAATCTTAAATGAACTGAAGTCAAAGATACGAGCAGTATGAAAACTAAACTAAAGTCCTTGTACTTGTACTACAGTACTAACAATAACAGAACATATTTGATACAAAAATAGTGCCAATAGCAGCACAAAAAATTTAAAATTTCATCTGTTCTGATTAGATGGAATTGCTTCACTGTGAAATAAATTTGGCGATAGAAATAGAGAAGTTGTTGCTGGGCGGCGAATAGTTGGCATCAGCGAAAAGGAATTTGAAATCAACCAGAGGAGGAATGGATGAAGTCGAAATAATATTTTGGTGAAAACACATGTTTTTTTTTGAATGGTTGAGACAATTTGTCTCCAAATGCGAAAATGAATTATTAAAAAAAAGAATTGAAACCGAGCATGAGAAAGGACATCGAACTCCACATGAGAAATGAGTGGTTCGAGAACATGTTCCAAGGAAAACAGCCAGATATTTTTCAATACAGGCACGAATTTAATTTTATGTAGGTGGGAAAAACAAAGTACCATAGTACCTGTTTCTTGTGTGACTTAGTACTACTACTCTAGGTAGTACTACTACTACTACGTCACACAAACCGGATCTATGGTATTGCGCGTTTCACGCGGTTGACACCATCGAAGTTTCAGGGTCAACCCTTAGTCTTTCATGATTGGATAATAGTTTAGAGAATTCCTGCACTACTTCATATATCCAGAACATGTTTCCGAAAACAAGCATAATTTTACTTCGAAAGCATGAAAAAACTCATCCTCTGCTTGGAACTTAGCTTTGTTCTTTATCATGCCCCCCCCTAAGCTAAAGGTATTCTGTCAAAACTGTCACGGCTCAAGAGATCGGAAAAACCAGCGTCCCGTATTTTACAGTGCCAAGCATGACAAAAAATCCGGTGTTATCACGTCACCAAAGCTACTCACTCATCTTCATCTCAGCAAGGATTGCTTCGAATATTACGTGTATGTCGGGGACGGGACCCACGACTTCAGTTCGTCGTTGTTCAAAACTTCTAAGGAAAAGATCAGCGTTAGCCAGCGGTTTTGTTTAACTAATACCCAGGACGGACCATCTAGTGGCATGCCGCAGAATCTCGACGACCAAGTTATGTACAACCCATATGTGGAAGTAGTAGATCGTGTGTTAATAGACTCTGCAACGGAATCCGTCGATTCTGATCTGGACAATGATGTTTTCTACCAATCTGCTAATCAGGAGGAGTGCTCCGACTTGGTTCTCATTGATGTAATAAAAACACCATTCAAATATCAATTGTTACCTCCCTCAACTAAGGTCAAAATTATGTTAATGAAGATTATGAGAGACCACAATATACCCTTAGTTGCCGAAAGGGAGCTTTATGAATGGGCTATCGAATCAGAGAGGTTGTCAGGTTTCACCTGGAGTACTGGATCCWGTTTGATCAAAACTCGCCAATCTGTTCTAGAAGAATGCTACCAAGCAGTTCCTGAACTATGCGGTGATTGTTTTACACCACAGCTTATTGAATAGCGTTCTAACAACGAAGTTGGCGACAAAGTAATCTATGTAAGGTCCTTTAGACGAGCATTGCAATCTCTCTTGACCAATGTTTCATTAATCAAAGAAGAAAATTTATCTTTTCCCAATGAGAACAACCCCACTTCTCCGTGTCGAGTTCCCAAATTTCTGCGGACTCTCTCATTTGCGAACTTCACCACGGAGAATGGTGGGTCGAAACGTGGAAAAAAAAATGTCATCCGGATAAGGACGAATTGTTGGTTCCCATTATATTCTACATGGACGGCATTGCGATAGACAGACACGGAAGCACAACCCTTTGCCCATTGAATATGACTCTTGGTATATTCAGTGATTTTACCCGATCYACTAGGCCCGACGCTTGGGAGACTCTTTACTTCCACCCTCAAGGAAAAAGCAATGTCTCCGTTGACAACGTAAACAATCTGCATAATGGTCTACGGGCCCCTCTTGCATCATTCCGTGCAATTTGTGAATCGTCAGATGAYATTTGGTGGCACAATTGTCCATGGAATGGTAAACTCTGGAATGTTAGGTTGAAGTTTGCTGTTGCTTTCTTTGTAGGCGACAGGGAGCAACACGACAAGTTATGTGGGCACTTCACTTCTGCTAATACAAAAATGATCTGTCAACACTGTAACTGTCCTCGCGTGCTTGGAATCAACTCTAAAGTAAACGTTCTTAATGCCTCAATTTTGAACGAACTTGATGCTCTGCGAAGTGAAACCAGAAGTGAAGACAATGAGGACAATTCTGAGGACGATTCTGACGATGCAACAAGTGGGAGTACTCTAGATTGCCCACTGAGGAAGAAGAGGCAGGTGACACGCACCAACACCAGCTTGCCGCTGCATTCTCCTCTTAGGTTATGGCACCCTTTTGATTTCACACAGTCCACMGTACCTGTTGGTATGTCCTTGGAACAGCACTGCTGTAACAACTCACACCACACTATTATCGGAGGCAACGTGTTTCACAATCTCGATTTCGGAGTCAACAGCCATGGAATCCACCTTGCTTYGCCTGGGGAAAGGCTTCACATGCATCAACTCGGATGTGCGAAACGTGCAGCGGAAACGTTCCGGGACGTCTTCCTCTCTAATTCWAAGAAGCTCCTTGATTGTATGGATTCGATCGCTGGCTAATTACGGTGGTTCTCTCCAGAGGCAGTCTGACCAAGATTTCCCCAGAACCAACTTCTCTGAGTCCATACATACTGCGAAAAAGGAGGGTAACCATTTTAGCGGTATGCTTCTCGTTACTATGTATTACGTCACACCGTAGTGTTATTCTACGAGCTAAGTTCATATCATATCATACGATCACACGATTGATCATACGTACGGTACGGGTAAAAACCTGAAAATATTGGTTAGTGAGAAATCACACTGAAATCTCGTGTAAATAACACGAAATCGATGAAATCGGGCTCATCGAACGCGCTTTCACTGCATCGAACACGATTCCGATGCTTGTTTCCGATATTTCTGAGCTCCGTCGGAGCTTGATCCGATATTTCCGTTCCGAGCTCTAATTTTGATGTTTTTATAAAGAAGCGATTTCGCCTTTT